GTTATTCTTATAATTATAATTTTATTAGAAGATTTTATTTATAAAATAAATATTAAATAAATAAAGATAAAGGAAAGATAATGAAGATATACTAATAAGAAATTAATTAGAAAAAGATAAAGGAATAAACATAATAAAAGCCAATAATCCAGATATATATTTTTGAATTTGTTTTTGTTATTTATGTTGTTTTTGTTTTTTGTTTGCTTGTTTGTCTATTTGATTTTGTATATTTTTGTATTTGAAGTTGTTATTATTGTATAGGCTAATTTTTTATGAGTTTATAATTGACATTTTATAGGTTAATTGTTATGAATTTATAAAAATTTAGGGGACTTAGGATTATTTTAATGGAAATTGGAGGATATTGTGTTTAGGCTTATATAAGATTTAAGAATAAGGTTTGAACCATATTATATAGATTGGATTGTTTTAAGTCTGAGCAATCTAATGATAGAGGTTGTTGATATATATTATTGGATATGAAGTTCGAAAATCTTTTGGTCGTTGTTTTGGTTTGGTTTTTGGATATATTATATGGGTTTGTTTTGGTCGAAATATTTAGGAAGGAATATGAAATAGTTTATTAGTGGAGCGGAATTGTTTATTTTAAAATGGAATTGATTTGTTATTAGATTTATTTGATTTAATTTTAAAAATGGTTCTTATAAAATTGTATTTAAGTAATAAGGTTTAGCTAGATGGTGAGATGGTGAAGTTGGCCGATTTCGGCTTAAATTAAAAGATTCGAATGTATGATATTTTAGATCGTATTGGTATGGTTTGTTGTGGAACGAATTTACGTATGAAGGCCTGTTTTTTGAGGTTAGAAAAATAGTTTATTTAGGTATTCTATTATTATTTTGGTTGAAATATTGTGTTTGTTTTGCGAGAGTTTGGCGATATGAGAATTGCTTGTTCTGATTGGCGCCGTTTTCCTGCTGTGTTGAGCGAAATTGGTTTGATTTTGTTTGTATTTAGGACATTTTTTGGTCGATGGTGTTTTTATATATATTGTAATAATTGGGTATGGGGATTATTTTTTGAGGCTAATAATGTATGGGTCTATTCTTTTCTTGTTTAGACGACCGACTTTTATTGATTAAATATATCGGACACCTGAGATATATTGTTGGTTTGTGTATCGCAGTGCTTTAGGAAATATATTGAGATATTGTTGAGAAATTCTATCTACAATTCGTTTTTAGATATTTGGGTCTCCAGAATTAGGTCTCTAATTTAATGTAATGCATAATCTTTTAAAATATTTTGTTTGGGTAGGATCCAAGGCAAAGGCTCAAAATCGCAGTCATTTATTTTCTCGAAATATTCCGAAACCGCCTATTGTCAAGCACTTGCTCGGTCTGCTTATTTCTGTCTCTACGAATAAGATCGTATATGTCTATCTCCAATTGTTTTAGTGGAATATTATTTTACTTCATATTCTGATTATGTTGCTCTCCTACCATGGGTTTTATCTCGCATGCTGCTAGAAAGCAGCGGGCCCCCATTAATATTTAATAATATATAAAAAAATATTTTAAAATAAAATAATGCAATAAATATTAATTATTTTAAAAAAATAAATTTCAGAATATATAAAAAAATATATCTTATTTAAAATAAATTCATTATATATGTAAAATATATTTAATATTAATTATTAAATAATATATTTTAATTATAATACAAATAAATAAATAAATTTTAAAAATAGAATAATTATATTATATTCTTATATTTATCAATAATTATTTAAATTTAATTTATATTAATAATTCTTAATATATTTTAATTTTAATTCGAAATAATATTATTTTTTTTGTGTTTTAATATTATATATAATATGTATAATAAATATTTATATAAAAGTTTAAATATTCCGGATAGAAAATATTATTTACATTTTTATATATATATCCTAAACATATATAAATATTGTTTAAAAAAAAATATGTTCAAATTTATCAAAAGAATTCAGCAAAAAAAATAAAGCTTAAATCATTTCAAGAAAAAATCCGAATAATAATTCAGTTTAAAATAAATCGAAAAAGCGGATCATAATCGACCATAATCAAATAAATCAAATTCGGGACAAACCATATATATATATAAAACAAATAATTTTGCAAATATATCTAAATTCCTTAATTCAAAATAATTATAATATATATCAAAATTAAAAAAACAAAAAAAAATATTTCTTCCTAAAAAAACAATATAATTATTCCTTATCTAGTTGTTTAAATTCATCAAATTTCTAAATTAAAAATTATATATTAAAAAATTCAAATTCTAATCAATTTTCTAAAATTATTCATAATCTATATTTAAATTATATCAATTTATGCTAATATATCCTAAATTAATAATTAATAATTAAAAATTATTTAACAAATTTAATATTTCAATTTTCAATTCCAAATATATTAAATATAAATATATATGTTTAAAATATTTTAAATAATTATATATAAATAAAAACCATAAATATCCCAAAAAGGGGTAACAAATTCAAATAATAAAAAATAGAAATCAAAACAAAATATATTCCTAAAAATTCAAAAAATAAGAATTACACGAGAATTTCCTTTCTTAGAATTCCTACAAAAAAAATCAGAGGATCATTTGCTTTTGATAAAGATCAAAAAATGTCTTCGTGTCGTGGCGCGCGCAACACTTTCACAAAGTCAAATATTGGCTTTGTGGTGGGCACGGCACTTTCGTAAGGTACGGTATAGATTTCGCGGCAGGCGCAGCACGTTCGCAAAGTCAGGTAAAGAGTTCGTGGCAGGCACAATACTTTCGCAAGGTCAGGTACAGATTTCACGCAAGGTACAGACTTCGCGGCAGGCGCAGCACGTCTTCAAGATCAGGTACAGATTTCGTGGCAAGCAGCGTATTTTCGCAAGGTCAGGTACAGAGTCCGTGGCAGGCGTAGCACTTTCGCATCGCGGCAGGCTCAGCACTTTCGCAAACTACGGTACAGATTTCGCGGCAGGCTCAGCACTTTCGCAAGGTACGGCACAGATTTCGCGGGGGGACCAGCACTTTCGCAAGGTCAGGTACAAATTTTGTGGCAGGCACAGCGCTTTCGCAAGGTCAGGTACAGAGTTCGCAGCAGGCGCAGCACTTTCGCAAGGTACGGTATAGATTTCGCGGCGCAGAACTCTCGCAAGGTCAGGTACAGAGTTCGTGGCAGGCACAGTACTTTCGCAAGGTCAGGTGCAATTTCATGGCAGGCGCAGCACTTTCGCCAGGTACGGTACAGATTTCGCGGCAGTCGCAAAACGTTCGCAAGCTCAGGTACAGATTTCGTGGCAGGCACAGTACTTTCGCAAGGTCAGGTACAGAGTCCGTGGCAGGCGCAGCACTTTCGCACCGTGGCAGGCCCAGCACTTTCGCAAAGTACGGTACAGATCTCGCGGCAGGCTCAGCACTTTCGCAAGGTACGGCACAAGACCAGCACTTTCGCAAGGTCAGGTACAGATTTCGTGGCAGGCAGTACTTTTGCAAGGTCAGGCACAGTTTTCGCAGCAGGCGCAGCACTTTCGCAAGGTACGGTATAGATTTCGCAGCAAGCGCAGAACTTTCGCAAGGTCAGGTACAGATTTCGTGGCAGGCACAATACTTTCGCAAGGTCAGGCACAGTTTTCGCAGCAGGCGCAGCACTTTCGCAAGGTACGGTGTAGATTTCGCAGCGAGCGCAGAACTTTCGCAAGGTCAGGTACAGATTTCGTGGCAGGCGCAGTACTTTCGCAAGGTCAGGTACAGATTTCACGGCAGGCGCAGCACTTTCGCCAGGTACGGTACAGATTTCGCGGCAGGCGCAGCACGTTCGCAAGGTCAGGTACAGATTTCATGGCGGGCGCAGCACTTTCGCAAGGTCAGGCACAGAGTTCGTGGAAGGTGCAGCACTTTCGCATCGCGGCAGGCGCAGCACTTTCGCAAAGTACGGTACACATTTCGCGGCAGGCGCAACACTTTCGCAAGGTCAGCTACAGGTTTCATGGCAGGCGCAATACTTTCTTTCGCAAGGTCGGGTACAGATTTCGCAGCAGGCGCAGCACTTTTGCAAGGTCAGGCACAGATTCGCGGCAGGCGCAGCACTTTCGCAAGGTGCGGTACAGGTTTTTGCGCCAGGCGCAGCACTTTCGCAAGTTACGGTACAGATTTCGCGGCAGGCGCAGTACTTTCGCAAGGTCCGGTACAGATTTCGCTTCAAGTGCAGGACTTTCGCAGGGTGCGGCACAGATAGCCCCCCCCATGCTGTTCGAAGAAGTGATGATTCAACAAGGGTGATGATGATGGAAGAAGCGATGCTTGAGCAAAGAGTGCGTTAATCTCTGTAAACATTCGACAAACCAGCACGGGGGTTGGGGGGGCGGCACCCCCCCCCATCATGTTCGAAGAAGTGATGATTCAGCACAGGGTGCGTTAATCTCTGTAAACTTTCCGAACATCAGCGAGGGGGTCGGGGGGGCGGCAGCCCCCCCCATGATGTTCGAAGAAGTGATGATTCAACAAAGGGTGATGATGATCGAAGAAGTGGTGATTCAGGAAAGGGTGCGTTAAGCTCTGTAAACATTCTACACATCAGCAGGGGGGTTGCAGCCCCCCCCCCATTTTGAAGAAGTGATGTTTCAACAAAGGGTGCGTTAATCTCGATAAACATTCTGAAAATCAGCGGGGGGGTTGGGGGGGTGGCAGCCCCCCCATGATGATCGAAGAGGTGGTGATTCAGCAAAGGGTGTGTTAAGCTCTGTGAACATTCTACAAATCACACTTCCTTCTTTCTTTCTTTCCTTCCTTCCTTCCTTCTCCCCATAGGAATGAGAAGAAGTTTCTTTTTGTTCTCTAATTAAAAAAAAGTGATCCCTAATAAGTCTTTTTTGATCACTAATAAGTTTGTTTTGATGCCTATCCCTCCGAGGGGTACCATGTGACATCTATCTATCTATCACATGCTGTTGCTGTTGTTTTGGGACTTTCAATGATGATCACGCCCAATAAAATATATCAAGTTCACTACCACCCGCTGCGTACGCCGACCAGCTTGTTGCGGTGTTCCAGCTCACACCGTTGGAGTTGATTTGGGGTGGCCACAGGCATGGGGTTGCATTGCAAACGGCCCATGCTTGGGACGAGCTGCCACACCCCTGGTCACCTGCCGTGCTTGGGCCTATCCAGCCCGAACTGGTGAAAGTATCCTGAGGCAGGGGACGTTTCACCGTTTCACCTCAGGCTAAGCCGCTAAGCCAAGCGGCCATGTAGAAGCCCAGACTCTTGTCCGCGTTGTCATTGGGATACTCCCAGTTCGTCGACTCCGCGCAAACATCGCCGCCCACTTGCTGCAGCCGCCACTTGGCGCCCGCTCCCTGCCAAAAGGCTTGTCACGGTGAACTTCCGGGTGGGGGACCCGTTTGTTAAGAGCAAAAACAGAAACTGGATTCAGCGTGCGAGTTCTCAAACTGGAACGGTTCAGGCATAAAGGACACTACGAATCAGGAGAAATGAAAAAGAACGTCGACATCGAATACAAAGCTGAGTCGGTTCCTGCGGACACTTCTTCAAGGTGTCCCTGGTCACTGGCGTGGTGCCACACTTCACCCAGCCCCCTACAGACGTGCTCGTCGTGGTAGTCGTGCTTGTGGTAGTGGTGGTGGAGACAAAGCCTGGCACACAACTCCCTGGAAGGCCAAAGCTTGGCCCAGGGGCCTAGGGTCTCTGTGTCCTTTTCGATAGCAATAATCCAAAACCCTTGCAACAGTTAGCACTTTTGCAATTTTGCACTCGCCCCAAAGCAAGGATGGACTGAAGCACGCCCAAGCAGGGCAGGCACACAGCAGTCTGCCGCACAAGTCTTAGCAGGAGCATCTGCCGGCAGCACATTGTGTACACGGCTCTGGTAGCCGGCGCTGGCTGCTGTATCTGTAGGAAGCTGACCTAGGCTTCACGGGTCAGCTTTTGCGGCTCACATAACCATATCAGACAGGCTGCAGTTCTGCGCCGGGATGGACGGAAAGTTTAAAGTGAGCCCTCCATTACCATCGTATTCTGTGTTGCTGCAGGAGTGGATGTGGCTTTTCTTGTCTTTATCCTGGCCACGCCACGATAGCTCAACTTGCTCGATGAATCTAGCTGAGAAAAGCTCCTCCTTTGCAAAGCTTTCCAGCAGGCACCTGATCTTCATGATCGCATTCCACTCCTCAAAAGATGCAAGTCAACTCAGCTCAGTCAACAGCATTCAGCACGACTCTGCAAGGCAGCCATATGCCCTCCTGCTGAAAACCATTCTGCTGCGCTTTTAGCGTGTCAAGGCTCCTCTCATAGCCCACCTGCGGGTTCAATGGCACAGCACCAATTTGAGCGCACCGCCCTCGGAACTCCAAGCGACAAAGAAGCAACACGGTGCCTTCGCTGCAGCATAGCAAACATTGCAGGCCGTCGTCATGGCTGCGTGCTGTGAGCAAGAGGCACTGTCCATGGTATCTTGCTCGCCTCAATATGGACCGCCAGCTCGGACCGAAAAAACTCGGTGCCCGAAAAGCCCAAACAGCCCGAGCAGCCAAGTTTCGGTTGCATCCCTCTCGCTTCGCAGTGTGTGCAGCCGCCTCGCGATGGCCACACGCATCCCCCCACAAGCCACTGCCACCCGCAGCCTTGTTGTCACACTCCTTCTGCTTGGTCGCTAGTGCTGCGGTGGCATTCGAGCATTTTTCCTGGCGCAGGGGAACTCAGAATAGCACTGAGCACGGCTGAGCACGGCTGAGCACGGCCGAGCACGGCCGAGCAAGCACGGCCGAGCACGGCCGAGCACGGCCGAGCACGGCTAAGCACGGCTGAGCATGGCTAAGCACGGCTGAGCACGGCCGAGCTCGGCCGAGCACGGCTGAGAGAGGCTGAGCACGGCCGAGCTCGGCTGAGCACGGCCGAGCGCGGCTGAGCACGGCCGAGAACGGCTGAGCACGGCTGAGCGCGGCTGAACACGGCTGAGCGCGGCTGAGCACGGCTGAGCACGGCCGAGCACGGCCGAGCACGGCCGAGCACGGCCGAGCGCGGCTGAGCACGGCCGAGCACGGCTGAGCGCGGCTAAGCACGGCTCAGCACGGCCGAGCGCGGCCGAGCACGGCCGAGCACGGCCGAGCTCGGCTGAGCACGGCCGAGCGCGGCTGAGCACGGCTGAGCGCGGCTGAGCACGGCCGAGCTCGGCTGAGCACGGCCGAGCGCGGCTGAGCACGGCTGAGCGCGGCTGGGCGCGGCTGGGCGCGGCTGAGCGCGGCTGAGCACGGCTGAGCCGTGCTGTGCCGTGCTCAGCCGTGCGCCGTGCAGCCTGCCCAGCCCTCGGCCCTGCTCAGCCAGCTCGGCCTGCTCGGTCTGTTGGCGCTGCTTGGCCTGCTCGGCCTGCTCGACTTTCTCAGCCTGTTCGGCTGCTCGACCCTAGTCGGCCTTGCTCGGCCCGCTCGACCGAGCAGATTTTCCTACGACCATTTTTCGGGCGCAATCGAGTGTTTCATATCATCCATGTGCAGAAAGTGGCTGGCGCAAAGTGGCTAGCATGCAATTTTTGCTGGATGTCTTCCCTGGAGTCAGAAACCCGGTAGGCTATAATCACAAATCAGTCGAAAACTGTTCAACAGAAAACCCCCGCACAACGCAGTTCATTGAGCACTCTCTTTCTATCAAAGCATATTGATGTTCTTTCCTGTTCCTTGTTCTCGGAAATTACTTTCAGGCGTGTTACAGGCATGTGCCGTCGCCTTCTGGTCCATGAAGGAAGCGAGGCTGCCCTCGATGAACTGCTGCATGCGCTTCAGCTGGGTCTCGTAGCTCTCGCTCGTCTGGGCTGCGCAAGTGCCAGGCAGCGCACCTCACAGTGCGCACAGTGTGAGCTGCGAGTGCGGGCTGCGTCAACATGTGCCAACGCGACTTGCTCGACTTTTGCTCGACTTACTCCATGCGGCTGGACTGGGACTCGATGGAGGTCACGGTTCCGCACTCCGAGGTCTTGAGGCGGCTCCCCGGCTCCAGCTCCTCCAGCGAAAGCCCAACGGACCAAACCAACGAGCCCACGAAATCTCCAAGAAAACGGGCCTAAACTTTTCGTATCTCCCTCATCCTTCTTGCACAGCTCGCTGACGCTCCACGCGGCAGACTCGTCCTTCAGCAAAACTGCCATCTCCCACATCTCTCCATCGCATCTCCTTGCGGCAGGCCAGGTGAAGGTCCCTTTGGCTATTGAAAGTCTTCAAATGGCTCTCCCCCGCAGCAAGGGCCTGACGAACAGGCAGGCCAAAGTAAAAGAATCGCATCTGAATGAAACAAAGGTCCCAACGCAAGTCAAAAGCTTTGCTATGTGTCACCGAGGCGCGTCAGCCGCGCAGTCATCAAATGCCTTCATGTTGCTGTCAATCTGCTGCTGTGCTGCCTGGACGCCTTTCTCGACTTCCGCCTTCATTTGCGAGTCCACCACTTTCAGCATGTCCCTTACATAGCCCACTTCCATGGAAACTCGTAGCACCCCTCTTGCCAAACGCTATTCGCTGGAGTGGCGCTTGAGAGGCTCTTGGACCTGAGGAAAGGCGGGCCATTCTTTCTCCAACGAAAACTGCGACTCCGACGCTGCCCCATCCGTGCAAGTAGCTCCGCGATAGTTTTCAGCTCGGGGGTTGCATTCTGCACCACAAGGGACAGCACCAGCGGCTCCAGCGGCAGTGCAGAAGACGCCAGGCCTGTCCCAAGCGTGGCTACTTGCATTCCCACATTCCTCGCTTCTCCTCGTTTCTGTGTTTCCCATTGTTTCACCTTGAAGTGCTGGGAGAGGCATGGGTCAATGAGTTAAGAGCGAGTCTGAGTCGCCCAAGAATCCCGACAACTGCCTCTGCCGTAACTCTTCCTCGCGGCTGATGCTCGATTATAGCCCGTGGCAGAATTTCGCCCAGCTTGTTGACCAACATGATACTTTTTTGGCACGCAAACGAAACGCGTTTGTTTGCCATGTAGCTCAAGCCTCGGATGCATCCCAATGTCTCGCCTAAAAGTTGCTTCAGGTCTTGGATCTCGCGACTCTTCATCGCTGCCCCCAGGGCAAGGCCCTGAAGGAGGCCAAGCTTCATTTCGGAATCGCCTGGGCCTAGTGCCCAACTCGATCCCGGGGCTGCGAATACGCATGCGCCAAGCCCTGCGTTCTCTGAGCTTTGCTCTCAACATGCGAGGAATAGGCCATGAAGCAAGGCCTTTCAATCTGTTTCGGCGCCGGGGCGGCCGTCACACACGGCACCAGCCAAGCTCTGCGCTACCAGCAGCACTCATCCCTGGTGCTACCGAGTCGGGTCGCGTCCGTCAGGTTCACGCCTAGGGCGTGGCAGTCCACCTCCTCCAGGCACCTCAGATTATTGTATATTTATTTTACTCCATTTTGTTGATGCAACTTGAGTGCTTGATGGTTGGGCTCTGGGTCCCCAGCTTGCGCTCCAGGTAGCACTCCCCGTCCGTGCTGCCTTGCAGTCCCTTCGTGTTGTTGCGCTTCCTAGCGCGGATCCGCTCAAGAACCCGAGGTGCAAGCCAGGCTGTCCAAAAGCTCTCTTCCCCTAGTTTTTCCTAGGCATGGCTCGCTACAGGGCAAGCCCACCAACCAAACGTCACTCAAGCCAAGTCGCCATTTGCTCAAAGGCAGCTTGGTCACATACTGCGAGCAATACCTGACAACTCTGTGAGTCCACTAGGATGGGGCAGCAAAACTGACCAACTTAACACTGGCACCCCTCAAGGCATAAGCATAAAGCTGACTGGACCAAGTCTCTTCGGAAAGCAGCACTCTTCATCCGTTTGGCCCAGATATTGATGAGCATTGGTGTCCACCTGAGCTCTCAGAAACAAGCCGGGGCAGGCAAACAAGCACTCGACGTCTTTGTGAGCTGGGCACCTTCTTGTACCACTGGGTGCCGTCACCGTCTCCATCCACATCGCTGCTGCAAGTGTAGCTGTCCTGTCAGAAGAACTTGAACACCCCGACAGCCCCGAACATACCAAGATGTGTTGAAGGGGCTTGCGGATGCCCAGCTTGTGACCCAGTCCCGACGCATTGCAGGCGACTGTATCGGCTGTGATGCATGCTTCGAAACGCTGAAACCTATCGGGGCTATGCCACGCAAAGGGTTCTGCCATGTCGTGAGGCGGGGCGGGGGATGCACCATGACCTATGTGGGCGTTGAAGTCGTGTTGAAATGTCTCAGCCAGCTGCGTTTCGATGTCTTCAAGTCTCTTTACGTCTTCGCCCGATGCGAAGCGTCTGGGGACCCCCACGCAGAGGTTGGCGTGGCAGCACTGCTCCTTGGTGCTGCCCTGCAGGCCCCGCTGGCCCCTGGACCGCCACTTGCCTTCGACCAAAGCCAAAAACAAGAAGTAAGAGAAGGTGAAAGTGCAGCTGACCCACAGGTGAGAAATGATCCGCTGGCGCTTCGACTTGCTGGCCCTTCTCAAATGTCCGGTTTCCACTCAGCCGACCTCTTCTCTCGCTGCCAAGCTGCTGCCATCCACACGCTCGCAGTCCATCGAGTGCTCACAGTAGATTGCCTGCACAGTCCAAACGCAATTCCTCGCCTTCCATCAGAATTCAAGCGGCCCCTTGCCTCACAACAGGTATCATCATCAAAGCCTTTTCGCAACGATCCATCCATCAGCACTGGCTTGAGTGTCCACATGGTTGGGTCACCTTAGCTTCGGTCCTTGACTCGCTTGCCGATGTGGCATGCTGTTGCCAAGGCGCTGCAAGTGTAGTCCTGGCACGGCTTCAGCTCGCAGCACTCATCGTCGCTGCTTCCTGGGGCCAGCCCGGCCAAAGCGGCCGCAAGCACCACCGAAATCTGAAAATCTGCCCAAATCCAATGGCCGAGTGTCCCAGATCTTCTGTCAGCTTGCCATCGGGAAGCCGGCGGACCGCCAGGGTGGGATCTAGGCTCAATGCGGGCGCAAACAGACTGACTGACGTCTGACTCTGTTCATTTCTCTTTGACTGCAGCCCCTTCATGCTTGGGGCAGCACCCTTGCATGTGTATTTCGCACACTTCAATGGCTGGCAGCAGGTCGCATGGTCACCACCCCTGATGGACGTCTCCTTCCTGTGCTGCCACTGGCTGCTGGGCTGACATGCGAAGTCCACCTCAGCACGGTACGGTAAGATGGAGTGACGCAAATGAATTCGGCTAAGCGACGCAGTAGCTTTCTTCACAGCCTGAGCTTCGATAAGTGGCTGGGGTTTGCTTCTTGGGACCGAGGCAGGGACATTCAGGGTAAGTACTTCCCAAACCACTGGGGTGTGTCTTGTTCTTCCAGCTGCCACGCGGGCTGGTGCTGCAATCCTCATGATGTCATTGAGCACAAGCTGCACAATGCGCAAAGGAGATCAGCCCCGTCCAGCTCGGAGCACTTCTCTTCTTTGCAGCAGTCTTCCGTGGTGCTCCCACGCCGGGCACTTCCTGCACTGCAAAGTTCTCCGCCGTTCACTCACATGCCATCCCACCAGCCCGGCGGCCCAGCGGCCCGGCGCCCCGTCCATCAGCGTTGTAAACCATCAAGGTGTATTGCGTCTCCGACGGGCAAGCGAAATGCCGGCAGTACCTAGTCTGAAGAAATGCACTTCCTTCAGGCAAAGAAAGGCACTTCCTTCAGGCTCAAAGTCAGAACACAAGAATGCGGAAAGGTTGGGGCACGCGGGCTCACAGCACTCTTCCGGCGTGCTCCCGCGGAGCCCGGTCCCGTTCTTGGCCTTGCGTCGGGAAGCATGGCTCAGAATGCTCAAAAGCAAGAACCACGCGAGCTTGGCCCATTCCCACCTTCACGTCAGAGCCTTTGCAGATAATATTGGGCTCGCACCAAACTGGATGACAACAACGATCCTTCGTATGACCTGGACGGCTGAACTGTGACAGGCAGCCCTATGCGCCCAAAGCACCCGAAGCTGGCCGAAAGCGCCTTGCAGCTCCGTGAAGTTTGGCTTCGGCGTCCAAATGGTGCCACTGCAGCTGTCCACCTGACGCGCATCACTGTGTCTCACACACATGCCCCAACCGAAGCTCGGAACTGTGGCTCAATGGCTCAAGTCGCCTCTGGCGCCTCGCTGCACAGGATGACTTCGCAGCACTCCACCCTAGCCGGACATGCCACGACAAAATTGGGTCGAAGAAGGGCAGGTCAAGAGTCTGGACAAACAGACATGTCGTACAAACTTGATTATTGTGAAAACACTGGAACATGTTTTTTACTTTCCTTCGGTACGTCTCGAGCCTCGGGCCTTGAATTGCCTGGCAGGACAGTGTCAGACACCTTGGGCTTCCAGCCATCTGTGCAGAAGTCCTTCCGGCAACTTGCGAGTTGCCGACTTGACTTGTTACGCAGTCATATCAGTCTTTTCCGTTGCTTGCTTGCGACCTCCCGACCTCCCGACCTCCTGACCTCCCGACCTCCTCCCCGCAGAGCTTCGGCCGGAGGCAGAACTTGGTGAATGTCACCTCGCGACTCGCTCGCGATCTTCTCCGCGCTGCGCTGAGGCACTGAGGCGCTGAGGCGCTGGCATCTCCATTCAAGACATCGGGCCCGTCCAGGTACCGGAAGCTCGGGTCCAGCGAGCTCTCCACACGGTCCGTAATTTGCAGCTCGCCTGCGCTCGCCAAGGGCCCGATTCAGAAAGTCTGCATTCCCTCGCGCCTTGGGCGCCTGCTGGCACGGTCACCTGAAAGCCTGGAAACCCGAAGTTGGTGGCCACTGACAAGGAGCTGTTCACCTGAGAACTGCCACGCATGCCGTTCTGTGTGGCCTCTGCGCCCAGAACAACCAGAACTCCAGGCAAAACAGTCCCAAACCTGTCCTGGTGCGCACTCACCCCGCGAATGGGCTGGGCCGCGTGCCGTGACCCGAAGGTGCCAAGTGGAGGCGGCAGCCCAGTCGGGAGAGGCCTTCAGCCCCGCCTGCAACTCTTGCGGATCAAGGTTAATACTCGAGTGGACCCAAAGCACAAGCGCGCATTGCTCGCACCGGGGTCTACCTTCGTTGCAATTGGAGACTCCCACTTGCTTAGCAGGCCATCCGCCCTTCCAATTTAGCGTGAAGTGAAATGAATCGTGAGCTTGCAACCATAAGACTGCAAAACCAAGCCAACTGTCAACATTCGAAATGAACAACTAGTAAAGGCATAGCATCTTCTTTCATTCTGCCGAATGCGATAGGAAAACTCGCTCGCAGACCCTATCAGTTAGAGATCTTCTTCGCGTCTTGTGTCAACTTGTGTCAACTTGTTCACCTTTTGACTTGTCTTAAGATGCAAATGAATCAATGATCAACATACCCCCTGCCCTTGGTCCGTGGGCAAAAAGGGGCATGGCTCATAATCGGCACCCAATCCTCGGTTGCTTTCTGCTACCCATTAGATGGCAAAAAGTTAAAGTCCTAACAGCCAAGCAAAATGCACCAAAGAATCTCTGTCCGAAGTGCGGTGACCACTCTGCACTTCGCTTGCCTTTAGAGGATATTGAAGCCCGATTAGTTGCATGCAGTCCGTTTCTGTTGCTGAGCATTTCAACAAATCCCGGGCACCTGAAACTGCTTGAGCTCGTTCTTGTCGAAAAGATCCTCGCCTTTGGCCAGCCCGGCAGCGTGATACAGGCTGTCCACATCCAGCGGGAACTGCCGGCCAGCAGCTCTCCACACATTCGAAAGCGCTTCCCTGCGTCGCTACAGTCGCTACATCCTCTGCCATCCCGCCTGGTTGCCACTGCACCTACCCAAACGAACCCCCCCCGCCTGCAAGGACCCAAACGATTGCTGCGTAAAAACTAACAACCCAACATGCACTTTGCCGGATTGAAAACCACACGTTTCGAGTTTAAGCTCGGCCCGGCCACTGGTCGTCCGAGTCAGGGTCCACCAGGCTCCGGTCTAAGCGGAGCTTGACAGCGGCAGCTGCCGCCAGCAGGATCACTGCGATCTTCATTGCCTGAGGCGAAAACAAGGGAGCGACATGGGACTGATGGATTTTAAATTGATTGAGATGTGCTCGGTCAGTCCCATCTCGCAACATGAGACCCGTGCTGACCTAGCATCGCGGGCTTGGAGCGCCCATGCCCCGAGCCAAGCTGCACAGTACGCGGCACTTGCGGCTTTCCCGCCCCTCATCCGGCATGCGGGGCATGCAACTGGCAGCGATGGCCCACAGCTTTTTATTTTTGTTGCTTCCAGTCCTTTCTGGACCTTGGCTGACCTCTCCACTTCAAGCATCGGATGCTCCCTGCCCACTGGCCAACGAAACGGTGACCACTTGTGGCCAACCGTGCAACCTCCAGCCCAAGCAATGTGACACATGCGCTCAGCTGGCCGCTCACTCAAATGTCCTTCTTTTCCTGGCATGGCGTGGGCGCGAAGGGGTGACAACTTTGCCCCGCAAAGCCTCCAACAGGACCGGCATTTCGTCCTCATCCTGACTAAGCCGAGCCACTAATCACGACGCCGTATTCATAGTGACTCCCTCGCAAACCCCACATAAGGGATGAAAAATTGATCACGCTGCGGCATGCCTCACGAGCTTCGCAGGGCCTAAAGCATCGGGCCTCGACCGGCCAATGCCCGCCGTCTTTGGCGGACTCCTTGCGGAGACGAAGCGGCCACCAGCGACGTGCGAAGTGACGCAACGCGTCCAACGTGTCCAACGTATCCAACGTATCCAACGTATCCAACGTATCCAACGTGTCCAACGTATCCAACGTGTCCTGCTTCTTCCAGGCTTGGCCATTGGACCACTTCGCCACTTTCCCGTCACACGACTCCAAGAGGCACCTGGGCTTTCGTGACTCTCAGACAAGCCTTTGGGCGCGAGGGCCGGGCCCCAGCAGTTGGACTGTGCCTCCCTCCTCCCGCAGCCTGTCGGATCACTTGGGAGCTGGCATTCTTGCTCTGAACGCACTTTGGCCTGTGTTGGTTCCTTGCTTCACCCTTTGACTTGTCCGATTTACAATGCGGTTCAATAAGGCTCGGAATATTCAACATCAGTTTACACCTTGCTCACCCCGTGCAAGGCCGGCCGCTCACTTTTGGGCCCTGGCACAAAGGGTCGGCGCGAGGAGGAGGTGTGGACCACCAAGCCCTTCACCACCTGCCCGAAATGCATCTAATCTCACCCAATGCAAGCGACAAATCAACCAACCCCCCACCCAGAAAACAAAACAAAAATACCGAGTTCGGCAATTGGACACTTGACTCACTTGACGCACTTTAGTGGCTTGACTCATGTGAAGCTCTTGATTAAATTGACTCGCTCGAGTGACTTGACCCGCTTGCTTTTTGCTAGTTTGTTTGGTGCTCTTGACTCACTTGACTCGACTCACTCGGCTCCTTGGGCGCTCTTGATTCACTGTCACTTGACTCACTTGACTGACTTGCCTCATCTAGTTCGCCTGACTTTCTTGCCTCGCTTAACTCATTTGGCTTTGTCGGTCGGCTCGCATGACTTGCTCAACTGATTGGGCTAACTCGACACATGACTCAGTGCCGCTCTCTAGATCATCGTTGGCCCGTTGTATCCCGCGCTATCAAGTGTTTTGCCCTTTCAATTTCAGGCATGTGTCTTACACGGATGCTCTGTACTGCCCGGAAGCTACAAGCCCCAAGGAGCGCCCAGCGGCAAGGGACTTGCCCGAAAAGTCACCACTGAAACGCAGTGTTTGGCTTCGACTCGTATTGAAGAAAATATAGTCGATCGGATAAAGCCAAACAACGCATAGGGCTAAGGCTTTTCCCGGACCGTGGACTCCGTCCACTCCGCGTACAAAATGCCTTCAAAGCAAAACAGCACAAGACCCATTGACACCGCGGGACGTGCTCAGCACAATCTTCCCCGCTCTCTCAATCAGCTACTAGTTACTGTCTCAGGCATGACTCACACGTCTTGTGCAAACGGTCTTTGCCAAGACCCTCCTGGCTTGAAACGTGCAAAGGCGGGTCAAGGTCCACCGGAGCAAAAATGAAACGGAATTTCCGCCGAACCTAAGCCCAAGTTGCGAGCGGATGTTCGGCCCTGGCATTTCAGCCATGGCAAGTAACATGCAGAAGATGCAGTGTTGGACTTGCTCGGGGTTGTACAGTACAGTACACCCCAAAACAACAGGAGTCCGCAGTCTCGAGTCCAATGCAAACACTGATCAAACACATGCATCGCTGCAGGAGTTGTATTCATAAAACTCTGCGCAGCTGTACCATTCATGCCGAGGCAGGGGGCAAGCTGGGACAAGACAAACTCCCAGTCTGAGTCTTCCCATATCGCTCGCCAGAGCCAATTAGCCCTCGGCTTGGAGCCAGGGGTGCTGTAGCGCCTCGCTTGCAGACAAGCGATGGCGCGGCTCCACGAGGAGCCTCCGAAGGAAGTCCCGGGCTCCTACGAAATCTTGTCCCTGCACATGCCACATAACACACTGGCTAATTAATTACCTGGCTACCTGCTCTGATCATGTTACTTGGCTCCCACTGAGCCCCACTTAGTCCCACCTAGTCCCACTTAGTCAGTCCCACTTAGTCCCACTTACTTCTTACCCACTGCGCTTCGGAGTTCCTGGAGACACGTCGCGGAGCAGCGACTCCTCAGCCAATGCGGGGGTGGCCTGTCGGGCTGGCAGCCGTCCTCAGCTCTCAGTCTCTCGGCTCTCGCAAAACCCATGGGCCCATTGAAGACCTATGCCTTGGGAGCGTTTCACCATTCTGGAGAAGATTCTCCCTTGAAAAGAATATGGGACCCATAGTCTACTTCATTTGCACCAGCAGGTCCACCAGTACCCTTGTCAACTTTGGCTCGCTCCACTCAGGGCGTGATGGAGATGGCTCATGGAACAACGGCTTCATTCTCATGTTGGAATCTGTTCAGGCCATTGCCCGCCGGCAATACAACACCTAAACCGGAAAAGAGCTTGTCGCCTCTGAGTTGTTGTACTGAACCTGCTTTCCAGACTTTTCAAGCTCCAATAAAGAGACCTCTCCCTCCAGTCCATGCTGCACTCCGCAATGCCCACGCAAGTTGCATGTGTGCAGCCAAAAAGCCAGAAAGCATTGCAAAGAGCACGACGCCCAAACTGAACATGTCAAGGGAGCCCTCGCAAACCACGGGCTCGACACCTTGGGCATGAGACGAGGTCTGTGGTGATGCTGCGCGCACTATGTTTGAATGGAGCCACTGACTTCCGGCGCCAAGTACGCAGCAGTGCCTTCACCTGGCCCAGAAAAAAAAGGGTAAACTACGATAAACGACACAAAGGGGGCCCAAGTGAGATGAGCCCTGGCCTCCATGTACAACCTCCCCTGCATCCGAGGCCAGCCCGAAATCCACCAGTGTGATGAAAGGCTCCGGGCCGGGTCTTAGCATGATGTTCTCCGGCTTCACATCCTCGGCACGGCATTCTACCACTTTGCAGTTGTGTGCTCGCGTCTCTCCCTCAACCAGGCAAGACCCAGCGGCTCTGTGCACCACGCCCTGTGAATGGCAATAAGCCAACGCTTCCGCGATTTGCCGCACGATGCTGGCCGCAGTCTGTTCCTCCACATGGCCAGAAGCTAGCAGGGCCTCCATCAAATCCATGCCTGCCAGTGGGTACTGGTTTGCACAGGCGCGGTGAATGCTCAGTCGCTCACACCAGACGGCTGCCGGCCTTCGGCATACTCAAGGATAAGGTGCACGCTGAACTCGTCCTCAACAACTTCAAGGAGTCCTTGGCTGGGATGTCCAAAAGATACACCCAATCTTGGAGATGCCGAGAGGCGGTTGATGTGCACATGGTCCAGCGAGCGCAAGACTGCAGCCTCACCTAGAGCGGCCAGCCTGTCATGCCTTGATTCCTGGCACGCAGCTTGGGAGCTTGGTCCAGCTCTTGCCTCCACCCCGCCCTGTCCTTCGGAATGGACTTGATAGCAACCGTCCGGCCTGTCCTCACCGTGGGCGTGCAACACCCAACTCCGAACCCACATGCCCGGCGCTCGCGCAAAGGTCCTGGAGCATCGGCCGCGGTGCAGAGTTGCGGCACCTCCCCGACCTGGCAATGAGCGCAACTAACAAATCTCAGCTCTCAAGCCATGTCAAACCGACCGCCGGGCCTATCCGTCGCTCAAACCTCAGCTGGCAAGCCCGTGTTCGCAACCTCGGGCTGATTGCTGCTCATGCGGCTCAAACTCGGCGACCTCTTCGGGTGAGGAGTCGGGGGTCCTAGCGATCGCAAATATCATCACCTCAATCTAATGCTTGTCCAGAGTCTTGATTGGGAACAGAGATGAGTTAATACATTTGGAGAAGATACGACAGAGAAGAGATGGATAATGATGGACGAGTTCCTGTGAGTCAGCTCTCTTCATTCGCTTTATTAGTGTTTGTCTTCTTCTTGAGAATCAGGAACTCATCTAAAAGTAACAAGATGTAGATAGAAAGTCCTTCCATGGAATGCTTTTACTAATCCTGTATCTCTTTCCATATCTTCACCAAATGATAAGATCCTAGAAGATGGGACGGCCTGTAGCCTGGATTTCTATGTGGTGACGGTTGAATTCCTAAAGTGGTACATCATAGAGAAATAGATGAATGGGAAATAGATGAGAAGAATGCCTTTGGGGAAGCTCTCAATCTCAGGTTCCTTCACTCTGTCTTTATTAGTGATATCCTGTGTCTTAGGCAATATCCTTTATCACTTCCTCTCTCGTCTATATGTTGGATCTCTTCTCTAATTGACTTCTTCATAATTCTGTTTCCAAGATATTGAAGTGAATTAGAGAGAAGAGATAAGGCACGAGGGAACCAAAGGGAAGGAGTGGAGATAGAGACAGTGGACAAGGGAGAAGACACGCCATTACATCATATCACCTTATCTTCATTCTCTTGTCTTATCTCTTCAGAAGCTATTTCTCTTGTCAAGGTTTTTACAGATAGTAGCATATTGGAGGATTCTAGAGCTTGGATCACATCCTTTCCATTTCTAGTACAGTCAGAGGGCTTGAGCTCTCCTCGTGCGATCCCAGCTTCTGCAGCTGGGCGTGTCATCCTCGCGCTCACTCTGCCCACTCTGCCCACTCTGCCCCTCACAAAACAAAAAGTTCAGGCGATTGAGCGATTCTCGGGCCTCGAAACAGCAGCAGCTGCCCAAAGGCTTCACCTGCGCAATCGCCAGACTAAACGGGAGGCACTGATGAATCCCAGCTCTGAGTCTGAGAGATCGGCACTGTTCTCATGCCGGTGCAGGGCCTCAAGCATCAATGCTTGCCATTCGCTTCAAACCAAAACTTGGTCTGGGGGATTGAAGGATTGCTGTCATGTCTCCTTGGTTCAATGGCTCTGCGAAACCTCTGCCCTCTGCAAGACCGAAAAATGGGACCACGAAAAACATCCTTCGCAAACTGGCTCGGCAAAACCTGTGCACGAATCATGCACTCCTGGGGGGGAAAAAAGTTGCATGGTCCCTTCTGCCTGAGGAGCGCGCAGCAGATGGTAATCGGGGTCTTGCCATGACGAACTTAAGATCTCTCTTGAGTGGAAATATTGCAAGGGCATCGAGCAAGATGGGTAATCTCACATGATCAACCTCCCTTCCTTCAAAATCTTGAACTCTTTGGACCCCGGCCACTACGCGATCGTCAGCCTTCGGTTCCAATGTGTCCAGCTGGCACGCATGTGGCTTGCGCGCCTCCCAGGATCCTTGGAGAGATGCCTGGAAGGGCACCTGACGTCGCGTCCGGTCGCACGGCGGGCATGGCGGGCATGGTCATGCACCTCGTACTGCTCGCGCAAACGGTCGCTAAGGCATTGCCGCGGCAGCCAGCCACCCAGCCTCGCATCTTTGCATCTCTCTCTCTCTCTCGCGCTCTTTCGCTCACCCTCTCGCTTCCTCACGCTTCGCCCTTCTCGCTTCGCCCCTACCCTCTCAGCTCTGTGCCCTTGCGGCTGGGGGCGATCGCCTGGCGCCCGATCCCCGACACGTCCTTTGCGTCTTGCCTCCCGACCCCCGACCCCCGACCCCCGACCCCCGACCCGCCTTCTTTCGCACTCATCAGCTGACCTTGCCCGATGCGCCCGTGCCGTCGGCTGCGTGTCGAGCTGATATCTCTGGGCCCGGCCATGCACCCAGCTACCCTCAGACTTGGAGACCAGCACCGCCTCTCCCACGGCAACGCTGAGGCGGTGCTCGCCGCAAGCCTGAGCCCCACCCACATTGAAGCCCCTGGCGTTGGAACTTTTGGAATGCCCACCTCACAGTCGCATACAGCACAGCAGCCGAAACTGCAACCGACCCAACACCTCAGCCGCTTTAGGGGGTCACACGGTGAGAGGCCTTGTCAAGGCTCCAGACCAATAAGTGAAACAACACCGGCCTCGAGAACGGTTCGAGCTCTTCATTCAATCTTGACACTTCAACAATGTATGGCTTGTATGGTCTTCATGTCAAACTCATGTCAAGTTGATCCTCTTGATGCGCGACACCGCCTTCCCCGGAGAAGGGGTGCTCCACCGGCATCACCACGCTCCTGAGAAAAAGATCGAGTCGATACAGTCTGATCCGAAGGCAATAGGACATTCGTGGTTGCAGCTCCTCTGCAGCTTCTCCGTTTTCTGGGCAATCTGCTCTGTGCTAATGTCAAAGTGCGTTGAACCTCCAAGTCAATCAAGCACATACGCGACACGCATAAAACAAGCCCAGCCTGGACGCAGTTCAGGCCACACCGGGTCTCCTGCACAAGAATTTGCACCGCCCAAATGCGTGTCACGCTTTAGCTCCTGGGGTGGGGCCACCAGGCATCAGCCAGGAAAGGTAGCCTTTGCCGAGAACCTGTCCAAGCCACTAGAAAAGGCAAGCAGCCACAAGCCACCAGCCCCAGGCAGCAGCGGCATTCTGCTTCCCCAAGTCATAGGGGAACACCTTAAGCTGAGTCCATTCGCGCTCTGCCGAGCTCACTTTCGGCCGTGGCACGAATCTTCGCTCGCCGCCCCGGCGGCGGCGTGCCTCGGCCTTCTCGATGACGTACTCCTGTGCCCAGTGCTCTGCAAGACGCTTGCACCATTGGAACCATGGCAAGGTCTTTGGAAGCGCCTCAATCATGGTAACATTGGTTTTCACGGTGTGCTGCATCCTGAGACGGCAAAGCTTTGCACGATGCAAAGCACGCATTGATCAGCTCTCCGGGGCAAGGACTCCCATGCCAATGTTCCGACCAGGAGCATCACCTAACGGGATGATTGTCAGTCTAAGTTTGACCTCAACTGTCTGAAGACAAATTTATAGAATACTCGAACAAAGCGCTATTTCCTATGCTCAAGCCCGGGCTGTCGGCGGGTGTGTAATTTCACTCCGCTTCATGTCCTGGGCTCAGTGGCCGAGGCAATGGCCACATGGCTCATAGGCTGTTGCGCCATGAGCGTGATGGCACCCTTTCCTATGGTACCTAGTGCCATGCCTAGTGACAAAAACTGCGGCCCCATTCGGGCCTTGTCGTGCATTTGCGGTTTCCCGCTCACTGAAAAGCGTCTTGTTGTTGTCCGTCTGTGTGCTCGCAGTCGTCCGTGACGTTGAGCTTCCATGCGTCCAGGTCCAGAATGACTGTCTGGACCACTCCAGCATAAGGGTGATGGCGATCACACCCATCGTTGCGAGGATCATGAAGTAGCCCATGATCCAGTCCTCTGTATCCTCTGTCTTATGGGCAGCTGTCTGCGTGAGCATTGAGGCGAAGAAAACCGCCCGTGCCAGTGGCTTCTTGTTGTTGAAGCCGAATGCAGTTGCTGCACATACCCAGCCGAAGTGCGCGTAGAGCTCCTTTATAGCCTTCTCGGTGTTCCTGATGATGGCGTTGTCACCCTCCAACAGGTCCTCCTCGGAGACTGATGTCTGCGGTGGCAAACGCTTCATCTCGATGGAGTGGCCGGTGTTGAAGAACTTCACCCGACCGGTCGTGAGGAGCTCCATCATGTTGGGACATTGCATCACCTTGGTGAGGCTGTCCGCCGTCATGCATTCGGTGGGCAGCAAGACAAACCATCGAAGTCGTCCAGCTGCTCGCGCTTCACGATGTGCCAGAATGTAGAGTCTCTGGCTCTTGTCCTGTGGAAGACTCCTGTGGCCTGTTGTCAACTCGAAGACGTCCCTGCAGTCTGTGGCAGCGTCTACTGGGAAGTGACGTGCTCCATGTTCCTGAACTGCAAGTAGGTCGTGTATGCTCGGCTTGTTGCCTCCCGTAGTGATCTCGGAGAATCTAGCGGACAGGAGTGTCGCGTTCTCCAGCCCATTGATGGCCGCTAGCGTCTCTCCGTGGCTCGTGGAATAACTGATCCGCTTCGCCTTGTTGCTGCTAGCGTAGACCAGTTGAGCTCTTCCAGAGAGCTGATTCTGAGCGAAGCTGTCGTCCGCCACATAGTGCTCCTTCTCCATGTTGATGTTGTCTGCCATGAGCAAGATCACCACGCCTTCCTGTGCATAGTTCTTGGTTGAACTTGCCGCGGAAGCATCATGTATGCAAAACAGCCGAAGGTGTCGCCGTGTGTCAAGAGACGGCAAGGTGACGTCCCGTGGGACGCTGTGCACCGAACCCTCAAGCTTCAATACCAACCACGTAGAAAGGTGTATACGGACGATGCCGTTATAGCCGAACCCGTGTAAACGTTGTAAGGAAGAAGGAATGATAATCACAGCAGTAGTCCTGACCCTGCGGCGCAAGCGGTGGTTTTGCTCTTTGTGCCAATCACGGAGATCCGCAGTCACACATCGGATCTTGAACCTCAAATGTGTCTTGAGCCAAATGGCGATCAATGGAACTTGGGAAGCAACACCAACAAGGACCTCAGAACTGCTACCCAATTTCGGCACGGGGCCTAGAGGGTTTTAACATCCCCCATTTGGGTCGCATTGTTCATCATGCGGTCCAAACACCACAAAACGTTCCACTGGCCACGGCTTCAACTACGAAATCGTGTCGTGCATTCTTTTACTTGCTATCACTACACCGTTCATTCGCTGTGAAACATGCCGGGTTCGATTGTACGAAAAGTGAAACATTCATCCTCCAATCGAAGCACACATCCATATGCAGGTGTATATAATACACTGTGGCCACTTCACTTGACCGCCAGTGAACATTCCAGCTGCCGCATTTGCGCATCGCGCAGCTGTCATCCATAAATGGGTTGGCCACAAATGTCCACCATGCGCGCCCGCTTGTGATCGGTCTGCATATCTCCGGCAAAGAAACATCGGTGAGTAATCAATGCAAATCATAGCCATTCCAGATACCATGGACAATGCATAAATAATGAAAAGATATCATCTATAAGGTAATAGTTCCATCCATGAATATCCAGAGCGTCATAGTCATCGGAATATGTAACCATGTACACATCCAATCATCTTGGACACATGAATATAAATCATGACATAAGTCGTTCCACCGAAACAGTGTCGATGTGACGCAGGTAACAGATGGGGACTGGCCCACATCGTACCGCAATCATCATCTTCACGAAGCATACCTGTCCCCAATGGACAGCCTATGGGTACGTCGGCGGAACTCCTCGTCCAAGTTCTTCTGGGCTTCTCGTGCCCGGACACACTTCTTGTTGTAGTCCTCTGGCAACCAGTGCCCTTTCCGAAGGCACCAATCCAGCAGGGGTGTGTCGCATTTGTTCGGGTCGACGGCCGAGATGATGGCGCTCACGTTGACCGCGTAACCATGCTTGCCAAGGTTCAGGCCATCCCTCACGAATGATATATACTTACAGTTGAAAGCTAGTGCAAAACATCTGAAAATAATATCACCCACCGGGTGCACTCGGTCCTTGACCAGGAGCTTCATTTCTTCCTTGGTGACATCGAGGATTCTCGCTGCAATCCACAGCTTGTAGAATGTGTATAGTCCCTCGCATTTGTTCACCATCATACGAATATATTCGTCACGCTCCTCAACCGATCGGAAGGCTCTTGTCCGAACATTCTCCGATTGAGAAATCTTCGTTATTGTTGATGGCAAAAGTATACCTTCCTGATCATGCTCAGTGATGTTGGGGTACCTCCTGAAGTCATTGTGGTAAGGGCAGCCCTCTCTCCCCTCGAGCTTGGCAATCATCGTTCTCTCCTCACCACCTTCAAACATCCCCCACATCTTGGACAGCTGGAGTGCGATAAATCCTGCCATGTACTGAGCCTCACGCGGCTCGTCAAGGCAGATCGCCATCCGTTGGGAACTTATAATGTCCCGTGACGCCAGATCGGTGTCGCGGTAATGCCAACCGCCGTCTTCTTCTTCTGACGCATAGCCGGATGTATATCCTTGCGTGTCCATGTCGTCATCTTCTCCCGGAACTTCCTCCGCTTCGTCCTCATCCTCCTGTGCTGCCGCATCGTGGTTAGCTTCTTCCTGTGCACGCCTGGCATCTCCAGAGACGTTGGGGTTTTGGTTGTCCTCCTCGTCATCGGATTTGATGTGAATGTAATATCTTCCGATGGAGATCAGTTGTGCCTCGCACTCCAGGCATAAGCAGAAGCAGGTAGGGATCGCGGTCGCACATGATGGACATATCCGGCACCTCAGTCCTTCCCATGTCTCATCATTCAGGATGACGACTTTGCTGACTTCGTCCCGGACCTCGTTGACCTGTGCGTTGAACTCTTCCATCTTGTTGTTTCGATAGAGTTCGCAAGCACGGTTAACCATGTCAACGATGTAGTGCAGATTATCGGCACCTGTCTCAGTCTCCGGCATCCTCTCGCTGATCTTTGCGACGTTCTGGAGGAACATCGCTGCCGACTCTTGGGATGAGTTGACAAAGCCAGGGCAGATCTCGTTCTCCACACACTTCGAGTACGCCCTCTTGATGTCAGCGTACTCCAGGCGCTTCCCTCCATTGCTTTTGCCAATCCAAATGGACTTGACCTCATAGAACGGGATCACGTCAAAGACCATGAAAGTCCCATTAGCCGCGACTCCAGCCCCATACCGCGCGAGGGTTGCACTGGGAATATAGATGATCGCAATCGGATCCCCTCTCCTCACGTTCCGTAGCGTTGTCTTCGTCGCCACGTTCATCTCATCCCATGGAGCAAATGCCCCGAAGTGCAGTGCTAGCCTGTTACCGCCATCGATTCCGCCGGGGACTAGCCCACAGCGTACGATGCTTGGCAGGTTTTCCACATACGTCACATGGAATGCTCCTCCGAGAGTATCACCCATTCTTGCGGAATACCTATTCGCCAGTGCGGATGAGCTCATGAATCCAAAATCACTGTGACCGGTTGTGACTCGGATGCACCAAGGTCTGTACCATCCATCGCATCTGTTGAACATCCTGTCGATGTCGTCCCGATCCACGCCAGCCTTGTTCATTTCCTCTCTGGCTGCCCTCGTGTCGTTCGGGTTCATGATGCTCGGAAACCTTGCTGCCAGAACCTGGAATCTCGACTTCTTGCTTCCGGATTCCTGCCACTTGATCACCTCCATGATGCCCATGTATCGTTTCGCTCTCGTGGTGTTGGTGGGAATATGTCGTTGTTCCGGTCGTCAATGACAGCATCAATGTCGACCCATCCACCCTCGTCGCACCTGAAAGCACTTCCTCGGCAATTGCCGATCTTGTGTCGAAGGACTCTGCATAGGTCGTGAGATAGCTGGTTTGCTTGGTCCCTTGTAGTAAATACCGAGCGATCATCACCAATCCTGCATAGTGGAGCACCGTCGAAAGGAGCAATGCAGAAGTTGACACTCTTGCCAAGTTGCATCACGTCCACTTGCTCAAGGATTGCACCTTTGGGAAAGTACCTGGGGTCAACAATAGACGCGTATGCCCGTGGCATAGTGCACATCAATCACATCGCCGTACTTCGGGATGTAGCACGGGATGGTGTCGCATCCCATCTCAAGCGTCTTCTTGAATGTCCTGCTGTCCCCGCACGGGTTGTAGTGAGGTCGACGCCACCACATTGTAGCTCTCCTCCCTCAGCCGTGTCAGCCATCTCCACCAAATTAATAGTGTAGCTGTACATCTCAATTGTTTCTTTCCCTGCTTGTCCTCCTTTCTTTCTTTCCTTGGACGTTGATGAGGACGGTTCCTCCGTATCCCCCATGTCTTCATCAGATGAAATAGGGTCACTGCTGAGTAGCTCACGGAGCACCTTCATCGCCTTCTCATTTCCAGCAGCCTCCTCAATGTCCTTGCAGTCGCCGTCGTGGGCCAGGTTCGCG